TAGACTGTACTGCACACTGTACTGCACACTGTACTACACACTGTACTTCACTCTATAGTAGACTGTACTGCACACTGTACTGCACGCTATAGTAGACTCTACTGCACACTGTACTACACACTGTACTTCACTCTATAGTAGACTCTACTGCACACTGTACTGCATGCTATAGTAGATTCTACTGCACACTGTACTACACCCTGTACTACACCCTGTACTGCACCCTGTACTGCACCCTGTACTGCACTGTACTCTACACTGTACTGCACACTCTACTGCACACTGTACTGCACACTGTACTGCACTCTATAGTAGACTCTTCTGCACACTGTACTGCACGCTATAGTAGACTCTACTGTACACTGTACTTCACTCTATAGTAGACTGTACTGCACACTGTACTGCACGCTATAGTAGACTCTACTGTACACTGTACTGCACGCTATAGTAGACTCTACTGTACACTGTACTGCACACTGTACTGCACACTGTACTGCACGCTATAGTAGACTCTACTGCACACTGTACTACACTGTACTGCACACTGTACTGCACGCTATAGTAGACTCTACTGCACACTGTACTACACACTGTACTGCACACTGTACTACACACTGTACTGCACGCTATAGTAGACTCTACTGCACACTGTACTGCACACTGTACTGCACACTATAGTAGACTCTACTACACACTGTACTACACACTGTACTGCACACTGTACTACACCCTGTACTGCACCCTGTACTGCACCCTGTACTACACTGTACTCTACACTGTACTGCACACTCTACTGCACACTGTACTGCACACTGTACTGCACTCTATAGTAGACTCTACTGCACACTGTACTGCACGCTATAGTAGACTCTACTGTACACTGTACTTCACTCTATAGTAGACTGTACTGCACACTGTACTGCACGCTATAGTAGACTCTACTGCACACTGTACTACACACTGTACTGCACACTGTACTGCACGCTATAGTAGACTCTACTGCACACTGTACTACACACTGTACTGCACACTGTACTGCACACTGTACTACACACTGTACTGCACGCTATAGTAGACTCTACTGCACACTGTACTGCACACTGTACTGCACACTGTACTGCACACTATAGTAGACTCTACTACACACTGTACTACACACTGTACTGCACACTGTACTACACACTGTACTGCACGCTATAGTAGACTCTACTGTACACTGTACTACACACTGTACTACACTCTATAGTAGACTGTACTGCACACTGTACTGCACGCTATAGTAGACTCTACTGCACACTGTACTGCACACTGTACTTCACTCTATAGTAGACTGTACTGCACACTGTACTGCACGCTATAGTAGACTCTACTGTACACTGTACTACACACTGTACTACACTCTATAGACTGTACTGCACACTGTACTGCACACTGTACTACACACTGTACTTCACTCTATAGTAGACTCTACTGCACACTGTACTGCATGCTATAGTAGACTCTACTGCACACTGTACTACACCCTGTACTACACCCTGTACTGCACCCTGTACTGCACCCTGTACTACACTGTACTCTACACTGTACTGCACACTCTACTGCACACTGTACTGCACACTGTACTGCACTCTATAGTAGACTCTACTGCACACTGTACTGCACGCTATAGTAGACTCTACTGTACACTGTACTTCACTCTATAGTAGACTGTACTGCACACTGTACTGCACGCTATAGTAGACTCTACTGTACACTGTACTGCACGCTATAGTAGACTCTACTGTACACTGTACTGCACACTGTACTACACACTGTACTGCACGCTATAGTAGACTCTACTGCATACTGTACTGCACACTGTACTGCACGCTATAGTAGACTCTACTGTACACTGTACTGCACACTGTACTGCACACTGTACTGCACACTGTACTGCACGCTATAGTAGACTCTACTGCACACTGTACTACACGCTATAGTAGAATCTACTGTACACTGTACTGCACACTGTACTACACTCTATAGTAGACTCTACTGTACACTGTACTGCACACTGTACTGCACACTGTACTGCACGCTATAGTAGACTCTACTGCACACTGTACTACACGCTATAGTAGAATCTACTGTACACTGTACTGCACACTGTACTGCACACTGTACTGCACGCTATAGTAGACTCTACTGCACACTGTACTTCACACTGTACTGCACACTGTACTGCACGCTATAGTAGACTCTACTGCACACTGTACTACACACTGTACTGCACACTGTACTACACACTGTACTGCACGCTATAGTAGACTCTACTGCACACTGTACTGCACACTGTACTGCACACTATAGTAGACTCTACTACACACTGTACTACACACTGTACTGCACACTGTACTACACACTGTACTGCACGCTATAGTAGACTCTACTACACACTGTACTACACTCTATAGTAGACTGTACTGCACACTGTACTGCACGCTATAGTAGACTCTACTGCACACTGTACTGCACGCTATAGTAGACTCTACTGCACACTGTACTGCACACTGTACTTCACTCTATAGTAGACTGTACTGCACACTGTACTGCACGCTATAGTAGACTCTACTGTACACTGTACTACACACTGTACTACACTCTATAGACTGTACTGCACACTGTACTGCACACTGTACTACACACTGTACTTCACTCTATAGTAGACTGTACTGCACACTGTACTGCACGCTATAGTAGACTCTACTGCACACTGTACTACACACTGTACTTCACTCTATAGTAGACTCTACTGCACACTGTACTGCATGCTATAGTAGACTCTACTGCACACTGTACTACACCCTGTACTACCCTGTACTGCACCCTGTACTGCACCCTGTACTGCACTGTACTCTACACTGTACTGCACACTCTACTGCACACTGTACTGCACACTGTACTGCACTCTATAGTAGACTCTTCTGCACACTGTACTGCACGCTATAGTAGACTCTACTGTACACTGTACTTCACTCTATAGTAGACTGTACTGCACACTGTACTGCACGCTATAGTAGACTCTACTGTACACTGTACTGCACGCTATAGTAGACTCTACTGTACACTGTACTGCACACTGTACTGCACACTGTACTGCACGCTATAGTAGACTCTACTGCACACTGTACTACACACTGTACTGCACACTGTACTGCACGCTATAGTAGACTCTACTGCACACTGTACTACACACTGTACTGCACACTGTACTACACACTGTACTGCACGCTATAGTAGACTCTACTGCACACTGTACTGCACACTGTACTGCACACTATAGTAGACTCTACTACACACTGTACTACACACTGTACTGCACACTGTACTACACCCTGTACTGCACCCTGTACTGCACCCTGTACTGCACTGTACTCTACACTGTACTGCACACTCTACTGCACACTGTACTGCACGCTGTACTGCACTCTATAGTAGACTCTTCTGCACACTGTACTGCACGCTATAGTAGACTCTACTGTACACTGTACTTCACTCTATAGTAGACTGTACTGCACACTGTACTGCACGCTATAGTAGACTCTACTGTACACTGTACTGCACACTGTACTGCACACTGTACTACACACTGTACTGCACGCTATAGTAGAATCTACTGCACACTTTACTGCACGCTGTACTGCACACTGTACTGCACACTGTACTGCACGCTGTACTGCACACTGTACTGCACACTGTACTGCACGCTATAGTAGAATCTACTGCACACTGTACTGCACACTGTACTGCACATTGTACTACACTCTATAGTAGACTCTACTGCACACTGTACTGCACACTGTACTGCACACTGTACTGCACGCTATAGTAGACTCTACTGCACACTGTACTGCACACTGTACTGCACACTGTACTGCACGCTATAGTAGACTCTACTGCACACTGTACTGCACACTGTACTGCACACTGTACTACACTCTATAGTAGACTCTACTGTACACTGTACTGCACACTGTACTGCACACTGTACTACACTCTATAGTAGACTCTACTGCACACTGTACTGCACACTGTACTACACTCTATAGTAGACTCTACTGCACACTGTACTGCACACTGTACTGCACGCTATAGTAGACTCTACTGCACACTGTACTGCACACTGTACTGCACACTGTACTACACTCTATAGTAGACTCTACTGTACACTGTACTGCACACTGTACTGCACACTGTACTACACTCTATAGTAGACTCTACTGCACACTGTACTGCACACTGTACTGCACACTGTACTGCACGCTATAGTAGACTCTACTGCACACTGTACTGCACACTGTACTGCACACTGTACTACACTCTATAGTAGACTCTACTGCACACTGTACTGCACACTGTACTACACGCTATAGTAGAATCTACTGTACACTGTACTGCACGCTATAGTAGACTCTACTGCACACTGTACTGCACACTGTACTACACGCTATAGTAGAATCTACTGTACACTGTACTGCACACTGTACTGCACGCTATAGTAGACTCTACTGCACACTGTACTGCACACTGTACTGCACGCTATAGTAGACTCTACTGCACACTGTACTGCACACTGTACTGCACACTGTACTGCACGCTATAGTAGACTCTACTGCACACTGTACTGCACACTGTACTGCACGCTATAGTAGACTCTACTGCACACTGTACTGCACACTGTACTGCACACTATAGTAGACTGTACTGCACACTGTACTGCACGCTGTACTGCACGCTGTACTACACAGTGTACTGCACGCTGTACTTTGTACTGCACGCTGTAGTAGACTGAGGTGAGCTCATATACCTGGAGGCTCCTGACCAATCAGCTGCAGCGTCTGGTGTCTGACAGCAGATGGAGTCAGAGAGCCGCCCAGAACTCTGTCTGGCAGGCCCAGCTTCCTCTCAGACTGCAGGCACATCTCTTAAGGTCAGGTCAAAAGGCATTCTGGGTAGTGTAGGAGATCACTAACTGCAGTGTGTGTGTGTGTGTGTGTGTGTGTGTGTGTGTGTGTGTGTGTGTTCAGGACTTCCTGCAGAGGGTGGAGTTGGAGGCGGAGCTCTCTGATTTCTGTCTGAAGTTCGGCTTCGACCTGCTGCTGCTGATGACCATCTCCTTCACTGAGAGCAAAGAGCCAATGAGAGAGCTCGCCGTGTTCAGCCACAGCGCCACCTGCAGGGAAGAGGTACTCAGTGCAGATGCCTGCGTACTGTTGTAGTAGTACTACTGTAGTACTGTATTAGTACTGTTCTACAGGCAGCTGCTGCTTCATCTCTAATTCATTCACGTGTTTTTATTTTAATTTGAGTTGCCGTGACAACCCATGTGTCCTCCCTCCCCCAGATGAGCCTCTACCTGGAACAGGCCCGTAACCCCGCCCTCAACCTCTGTCCAATCAGCAGCCCCCATGCTCACATCACAGCCTATCAGCAAGGTAGACTCTGCCTCCTCTGACCTGCAGCGTCAGAAATCTTTTTGTAACGCACCTGTTTCTGTTAAACCTTAAAGTTCTACATAATTAGGGGCGTGGCCACTTTGACTGACAGGTGTGTCTCACTGCTAGCCTTTATGCTACTAGCTGTCTGTCTGTTGTATCCCAGAATGCATTTCGTACCAACAAACAGTGATGGTGGAAGACAAGACTCACAGTCGGTTCTAATCCTGCTGTTTTAAAAGGTTTTTAGGCGGGAATGTATTTGTTTAAACTTAAAATCTGTGGTGGATTTATTCAGATAAAGTCGAGTTACCAAGATGGCGACGGTTGTTCCATCCACTTTGAGCTTGAACAGCTGTTGAGAAACCTTCCGGTGTTTCCTCTGCACTCATTAAAACATTTCTTTTAACTAAAACGTGTTCTTTGTGCCTCGTTAAAGGAAACAGTCTGGCGTCCCGTAAGAAGCTCCTCCCCATCGTTAAGGACTTCCTGAAGGGGCAGGACGGAGATGGTCGCCCGGGAGACGTGGAGGAGGACGAGTCTCGGGTGCCTCCGACCCCGATGAACAGCCTGGTGGAGGGCTGTCCGCTGGACGCCGGCCTGCCGCACATCAGCGCTCAGGACCTGGAGGAGAAGTTCAGCAAGATGGCGGATAGGCGAGGGAACTGACCTCTGACCTCCGCAGACGTTCACCTTTAAACACGTTCAAATAAAAGTTGCAGCTTCACGCCTGCATGTGATGTCACTTCCTCTGAGTTCACTATAATGAAACACTTCCTGTCGATGTTTCACAATAAGTCTTTCGGGGAAGAGACTCTGTCACTGGAGGGATTTTATTGTGAAACAGGAAGTGATGCAGCAAGAGGAAACAGCGAGCAGAACAGACAAGGCGCTGCAGCAGCTTGAAACACATCCTGCTGACCTTTGACCCCAAACTGCTTTATTGTGTTTGTAACGTTATTGATTCATTATTTTCAACAGTTCATTAAATCTTTTTTAAAAACTGTCAAATTTAACAGAAAAACAGTTTTCACAAAATAAAATCATAAAAATGATCACCAGCAGAACTTCAGCAGTTTGTTTCCAGCCGTTTTGAAGTACGTTCATATAGCGTTACGCTTCCAAACATTTCTCTCGGGGATCCCTGTCAGATTCTGTTTGGCTGATTTGACACGCTGGCGTTTGGCGTTGTAGCCGTGCAGCTGCAGGACGTGGCTTTGCGCTGGTTCAGGTTAGTAATGTCGCCCTGTGAGGTAGCAGTGAGAGAAAAGCAGGTTTACTCTTCTAAAAGCCAGAACAGTCCCACTCACCTGACGAGCCTGTTCCTCTTTGACACTGACGTTTCTGCAGCGTCGGGTTCTGTCGAGGCGGCTTTACTCTCGCGTGTTACGTGGAATCGCAGCCTTTGCTGTTAGAAGATCTTGTTTTATCACACTTAGCTGCATATTATTGCAAATGCAACTGATGTTCGACCCGAGCGAGCAGCTATTAAGTTATTACTAACTAGTCCAACAGGAAGAAGGCCAGCTCGCCGTCTGTCTCTCTCGACACCGACGCCTTTCTCAGCCAGCAGCAGCTGAATGTTGCTTGAAATTTGGGTGGCGAGCTAGCCAATAAAGCTAACCAGCATAGCTAGCTAGCCAACAAAGCTAGCCAATAAAGCTAACCAGCATAGCTAGCTAGCCAACAAAGCTAGCCAACAAAGCTAGCTAGCCAGCATAGCTGAATAAGGTTTTTCATAGCTTAAGCATATTCCTGTTACAGTGAGCAGTTTCATCTCCAGTGATTAGAAAAACATTTTGTTATCTTGATTTGAAAGATTTAGTTGGATCATTTTGAACAGCCAGATTTGCGGTGACCTTCTTTGACTGACAGAACCACTTCTGAGCATGTGCAGAAAGGATCTGGCAGGCGGTACCGATGTGTGCTAGCTAGTACGTTTGCTAACATCAACTCCAGATTTGTAGCTAGCAGCTAAACGTCTGTGTGTGAAACGTTATCACTGACGAGTCGAGCGGTTTGCAACCTGTGGCCCCTCTAGTGGCTCCCCGACTTTGTGAAAACAATTAAATGATTTAACTTTTTTCATATTATGGGCGGCACGGTGGTGCGGTGGTTAGCACTGTCACCTCACAGCAAGAAGGTCGTGGGTTCAAACCCTGGTTGCCCCGGCCTTTCTGTGTGGAGTTTGCATGTTCTCCCCGTGTCTGTGTGGTTTCTCTCCGGGTGACCGTTCTCTCTAAAGACCTGCAGGCTAGGTTTATTGGTTACCCTAAATTGTCCTTAGGTGAGTGTGACTGGTTGTCTGTCTTTGTGTGGCGACCTGTCCAGGGTGTACCCCACCTTGCGCCCGATGTCAGCTGGGATTGGCTCCAGCCCCCCCGCAACCCTGTACGCAGGATAAGCGGTTGACGATGGATGGATGGAACTTTTTTCATATTTACATTTGTCGGGAAGCATTCGACTGTAAAAACATGGAGCATCGAATAAAATGCGTATTAACACTTAATAAACTAAAATGTGCGTCATCGTGCTTCATCGTGGCGCTAAACTCAGTAGCGGTCTGTTCTCAGAGAGCTACAGATTAAAAATCCAAAAATAAAAATAAAGCAGCCAAATAATCCCAACCAGGCTGGAGGCCTCCTGCAGACACTTGGTGGTCAAACATAAGAACGACGGGTCGACCTGTCAGGGAACAGGCTGCAAACTGATGAAAGAAGCTCGCCGTCTGTCCTGCAGCCTCTCAGCTCTTCAACGAGTCAAAGCCAGTCTGATGTTTCCTGTCGCTCTCTCTTCTCGTCTTCTTCAGCTTCTTCTTTCCACACTGAGAACACGGAGAGAACTGTCTACATTATAAACTCTTTGCTTCTTCCTGAACTTGCTGAAGAGTCGCGTTGGTGCCGTAAAGCGTTCCACTGTCATGATAAACGCGCCGAGTCGGCGTCGCATCAAGTTGAGTTTAAAGATGTTTAAGATAAAATTACCACATAATGTTGCTTTAAGTCAAAATTACAGATTATTAAACAATTGAATAAGTCTTGATGCTGAGAAGTGATTTAAAGTCAGAATCTGGAGATTCGTAACGTTTAGGACAGTAAATATAATTTGGAGATAATTAATATAAGTATATAAATTAAGGGACATTTTTTACTATGAGGCAAAATTTTAACTTAAAATTAGTTTTGAGTCAAAACCTCGATCAGAACTTTTCGTCTGTTCGTCAGCTGATGCAGAAGGCGGTCAGTAGGACCCTGAGGACACCCGGCACTTCCTCCTGCTTTAAATAGCCTCAGCAGCCGAGTGGTTAATATTAATGAAGTCGGAGTGAAGCTGACCTGCCGCCTCACCTGGCTGCACAGAGCAGGTGAGCTTCAACCAATCAGACGGCGGCTGTGCTGTGAAATGCAGCCAAACCTGTCGGGCAGAGAGAGAGAAGGCGAGCGAGGGAGAGTCCCATTGAGTCAGAGTGGGAACTTCCACAGAGAGAGAGAGAGTCTGGAGGAAGACAGTCTCTGAGACGTCCAGCTGCTCACATGCTGGTCAGAACACGCCGTGACATCACTGTGACATCATGAGCATCCCCACCAGGCACGCGGACAGGTACGCCGAGGACAGGTACGTTTAACATTGAAAAGTCAAACAGAGATCCTCGGGTTTCACAGCGTGTGTGTGTTGGTTTCCTGTTGCGGCAGAAAGAGGAAGCTCAGCCTCAGCTGGTGTTTCAGTGCAAGCGTCCGTTCTTCCCGACGGTCAGTGAAGGCATCGCTGTGTTGGCTCATTTCATTAAACGTATTTGACAGTTTTAAGTTTCAGAGAAGTAGAAACGCTTCTGCACCTCACAGGTCAGATCTGACGCTGCTGGCTGTTTCCATGGCAACAGATCGTATGTGTTGTGATCCCAGATCAGTTTGTCCACTTCAATAAAGTTTTTTCAGACGAACTCGCGTCGACAGAGAGGAAGGCAGCCTTACTTTAAATAACTCGACTGTCCAATGAGAGTCCATGCAGGCCAGAGACCGATCAGGTGATCAGACGTGTCCCTGAATCTAAAATGAGTCCGAGAGTCTGAATCTGGGCTCCTCGTCTCTGAGTATGTAACTGGTGAACACCTGAAATACCACATCCTCAAACACTGACTTCCTGAAGCTCCCCTGGAACCTTGTTGCCCCTTTACCCTCCTTAAGAAACCCCAAGACCCTCTCAAGAACCATGGAACTAATTCCAGCCCCCCTGGAACCTCTTGAAGAACTCTGTAAACCTGCAGCAGCAGCTCTGGGATTTCTCCAAGGAAAGCTGAAGCTCTTCAGGCACTCATGAAAAAGTCATCAAGAACCCTGAAAAATCCCTCAAGAACTCTTTACGTCCCCAAGGACCCTGGAATCTCCTGGAACCTTGTCAAGCACTTCTGTAACTTCAGGAACCTTGGAACCCCCTCAAGCACCTGAAGACCACCTGCAACCTTCTCTGGAACCCGCTGTAGAACCTGGACAGGAAAGAACACCTGAGAGAACAGGACCCTGCTGAGAGTTCTGGAGTTTCCCAGTCAGACCCTGAAGGCACCACAGTAGAAACACAACCCCCCCGCCCCCTTTGTGTTCCACATCTCTCAGGTGTGGTGACCTGGGTGTGTGTGTCTGCTTCAGTAACAACAAACAGAGGAACAGTAGAGCCCCGCCCCTCCTCACCTGCCCAGGTGAACAATCAGAATCAGAGCGGTCGGGCAGGTTCGTTCAGTCCCATCAGACTCAGATTTTAAAAGCACGACGAGCTGCTCGCAGGATTGAGGAGTGTTACACGCCGACAGGTAACCGGTGAGAGACGCCTGACAGCATCTTTGTGTTTAACAGGAAAAGCAGGAAGAAGCTGGTGTCAGAGAGGGAGCGAGGCGCCGTGGTGACTCGCTGTAAAGTAAACTCGTCCCTTCAGGGCTTCGTGACCTCCAGCAGGTTTTGGTTCCTCAGTAAATAATCTGAGGCCTCCACACAGCCCGTGTTCTCCAGTCCTACAGTCAGAATCACTCCATCGTTTCGAGCGAGCATTTGTTCTGTGGTTCTACTCGCCTTTTTGATGTTTGTGTGTATTTTTGTCTTTTCTATGAATTTAATTTAATTGAATTATTTTATCTCTGGTTGGAGTGGACGTTAGGACGTCCTTGAAGACGAGACAAAGGGCTTAATCCTATAGAACAAACTTCAGCTCCGTGTCCTCCCCGTGTCTCTGACTCAGAACTGATCTGTGGTCAGTGCTGGAGGTCTGCAGTACATTTACTCTGGTTGTGTACTTCAGTATTATTACTGAAACTTCTCAGATGTTTGATATAAAACATGTGAATTAAACTGTTTCTGTCATCATCTAGTAATTATCACAGGGAACATCCCGCTGCGTAACAAGTACTTTTCCTGATTATACTTGTGTACTTTTACTTGCATAACTCCAAACTCTACTGCTGCTGATTTATACTGTATGGGTGTTGTCCCTGCAGGGTTCCCGTAGGGGCCTGGGGCCCCCCCAACATCCAGGACATGGAGCTGAGGGAGGAGTGGCAGGACGACGGCTTCCCCAGGTCAGACTTCACCTTGGTCTGCTCTCTGTTTGTTCGTCTTATCTCAGTTTCTGTGGTTTCCTCTCGCTGCTCCGGCTGGTTCTGCAGCACAAACAGGTTCTGATCCGAGAGATCACGTTAGTATTAAAACTGCACCGTGCTGCGTCGGCCGGTGTTGTTAGAGCACTGCAGCTTTTCTGCATGTAACAGCTGTTTGACACGAAGCTGGTCCTTATCACACTTTATTTGCCAGGTGTGTGGAAACACAGGAGGAATGTGACTCCGGATTAGACTCAGCTCACGATGTTCTTACAGTACACAGTATCTAGTACATAGTATACAGTACACTCACGTATACACACTCTCCAGAAAAGGAAGTATTTTTGTGCCGATGTAGGTGAGTCAGGTGGATATGATATATACAGGCAGTGGTGGACAGTTACTAAGTACATTTACATGTACAAATGAGTTGTACCTGTACAGTACTTGAGTATTTTCTCTTCATGCCACTATCTCCTTCTGCTCCATCTCAGAGGGAGATCTTACTTTACTTTTTTACTTGACTACATTTATCTGACAGCTTCAGTTACTTTGCAAAGTCAGATTTTTAGACAAAACACACAGAGTCTATAAAATACCATGTTATGGAATAATAATTGTGTATATATATATATATATATATACAACAGTAACTGGGGACATTTTACTGCAGTGAGTACTTTTAATACTTTAAGTCAATTTTCCTGATATTTATATTTTTATTGTATTTAATTTTACTTAAGTAACATTTTCAATGCAGGAATTTTACTTGAGTACTTCATTCTCCTCTGTATACAATACGACCAGTAGGAACATCACTGAGTTACAGAATGATTGATGAATAAGAAACAGAGAGCAGGTGGATGTTGGAGTTACTGGGCTGTCAGCTGCGATCAGAGTGAAGGCCTCTGGGTAGAAACTGTGTCTGTTCGTTATGTGTAAAATCTGCTGCTTCTGACTCTGATGTTTAATGTGTTTGGTGTGGTGGTGGGGGTTCAGGCCTCTCCCAGAGGATTGTGGGAGTCCAGAGGAGGTGGAGAGTCCGTCAGGCGGTGAGCAGCGACCAGGTGAGCCTGAAAGTCCTGTTTTGTTTTTCTCCAAATGTATTTGCTTCGTATGAATTGTAGAAAATGATAAACAATAAATAAGAATTCATTATTATTTAGACTGAAGATTTCATGCCGTCAACATGTTTGTGTACAAAGCCTGTTGCAAACTGACTTGAATTAATATAATAATAATAATAATAGGAGTGAAAGATTCTTTCATTCTGATTGAATGTGTAATATGACCCACAAACATACGCAGCATTACTTAATCTATAGTTTCACGTAGCCTAATAATAATGTAGGTTTCACAAATGTGAAAAGTTTCACCACAACAAGGTAAAGTATAGGTATTGTGGATCCATTTGTACAAATGAACTAGTGTTTGTGGATCCACTTTTAAATGTCAACGAGTATTTGTAGATTTATTTGTACTAGTGAACAAGTGTTTGTGGATCTACTTTTAAAAGTCAACCAGTGTTTGTGGATCCATTTGTACAAGTCAACGAGTGTTTTCTGGATCGCTTCCTGTAAGTTTGTGAACCATGTGATATTTGTGACTTCCCTTGTTGTCATGCAGCAGATCTGTAGGACAAATCCACCTGTGAGCCACAGCTGCACTTTAATATGTTCCATGTGTTCATCACAAGTGTATAATATGTTAACACCCAGGAGTGAACAACAACTGCCTTCGTGTTAACACGTTAATCATTTTACATTAACATGTGGTAAATTGAAACTCAGCTTAACCACAGCAAATATAACAAATTAAATATTAATAAATTTAATTATGATCATTTTGCGTATACTTTGTTTACAATTCTCAATAGAAGGCTAATATTGTTTAACCGTTCACACCTTCACGCTGCGTATGTTTGTGGATCATGTTTACATTTGTGGATTGTCTTCTGTCTCCATTCAGAACGTCCATAGGTAACAGTTACGTAAATTTTGACTGAGGGGGGCGCATGTCAGTTACTAACTGAAAACCTTCTCTCCCTCCCTCAGCACCGCCTAACAGCCTCGCCCTATCAGGAACTGTTGGTGGCGGAGCTAAGAAGCGTCTGGCGGCACCGTCACTCAGCCTCACTTTGAGCCACAAAGATTCTATGGACCCGAGCAGTGATGGGTTCTCTGCAGCAGCGCTGTCTGCAACACCGGACGAGACGCCTTCACTCGACATAAACCTGGAGGCTTTGGAGACCCCTTCAGGTAGCGAGTCGGGAACGCTGCCAGATGGCATCTACGAGCTGGAGTGGGAAGGTGAGACTGGCTGACCTCGGACAGCTGGTTAGAGAGATGACACGTATACACAGACTAACATAACTAACATTTTACATTTACAGGCCAAAGCCTCCTACAAGCTTGAGGCAAGATAAACAGAATTACATTAAAAAAGAGAAACAATATTGATTTGAGAGAGAGAACCAATCACAGGGCGGCACATGGAGACACCACATTCACCCTGCAGTAACACGAACGCCTCGTTCAGACCACCAGCCCAGATTCATTTTTTGGCATTTCCAGATTTATTTTTAAAAGTCTGGACACCGCGTTGGTTAAAGAGTTAAGGTCAATTTATACTTCTTTATTTAAACTCTGGCCTCTTTCTGACAGATGACCTACCCCAGATGGGGAGGGGCAGGGCTGCAAGCGTGACCAGGAGCACGATGGAGTCAGAGGGTCTGATGGAGCTGGACCAGGTGGACAGCAGGGGGCGCCGCTGGAGGAAGTTCAGCATCGGTGGACATGAATATCACGTCAACATGAGTGTGCTGGAGCCGTACCTTCAGGTCCTGTCACACGGAGGTCAGAGGTCACACACAGTCACCTGAAACACTTCTGTAGATCCCGTGACAGGAAACGCCCACAGATCAGCTGACTGACTGAACACACCTGTAACACACCTCAACACACTGTAACACACATGTAACACACATGTAAACACTGTAACACACCTGTAACACACATGTAACACACCTGTAACACAACTCAACACACTGTAACACACCTGTAACACACCTGTAACACACTGTAACACACTGTAACACACCTGTAACACACTGTAACACACCTGTAACACCCTGTAACACACCTGTAACACACATGTAACACACCTGTAACACAACTCAACACACTGTAACACACCTGTAACACACTGTAACACACATGTAACACACCTCAACACACTGTAACACACATGTAACACACATGTAACACACTGTAACACACCTGTAACACACATGTAACACACATGTAACACACCTGTAACACACATGTAACACACATGTACACACCTGTAACACACATGTAACACACATGTAACACGCCTGTAACACAACTCAACACACTGTAACACACCTGTAACACACTGTAACACACATGTAACACACCTGTAACACACCTGTAACACAACTCAACACATTGTAACACACCTGTAACACACCTCAACACACTGTAACACACTGTAACACACATGTAACACACTGTAACACACCTCAACACACTGTAACACACATGTAACACACTGTAACACACCTGTAACACACTGTAACCACATGTAACACACCCACTGTAACACACTGTAACACACTGTAACACACCTGTAACACACTGTAACACACCTGTAACACACATGTAACACACATGTAACACACCTGTAACACAACTCAACACACTGTAACACACCTGTAACACACTGTAACACACATGTAACACACCTCAACACACTGTAACACACATGTAACACACATGTAACACACTGTAACACACCTGTAACACACATGTAACACACCTGTAACACACATGTAACACACATGTAACACACATGTAACACATGTAACACGCCTGTAACACAACTCAACACACTGTAACACACCTGTAACACACTGTAACACACATGTAACACACCTGTAACACACCTGTAACACAACTCAACACACTGTAACACACTGTAACACACATGTAACACACTGTAACACACCTCAACACACTGTAACACACATGTAACACACTGTAACACACATGTAACACCCTGTAACACACCTGTAACACACCTCAACACACTGTAACACACCTGTAACACACATGTAACACACATGTAACACACCTGTAACACACCTGTAACACAACTCAACACACTGTAACACACCTGTAACACACCTGTAACACAACTCAACACACTGTAACACACCTGTAACACACTGTAACACACATGTACACACCTGTAACACACCTGTAACACACCTCAACACACTGTAACACACTGTAACACACATGTAACACACTGTAACACACCTCAACACACTGTAACACACATGTAACACACTGTAACACACCTGTAACACAACTCAACACACTGTAACATACATGTAACACACATGTAACACATGTAACACACCTCAACACACCTGTAAACCACCTCAACACACTGTAACACACCTCAACACACTGTAACACACATGTAACACACATGTAACACACCTCAACACACTGTAACACACCTCAACACACTGTAACACACCTCAACACACTGTAACACACCTCAACACACTGTACACACATGCAGCACACTGTAACACACCTCAACACACCTCAACACACCTGTAACACACTGTAACACACCTGTAACACACCTCAACACACTGTAACATACATCAACACACTGTAACACATCTGTAACACACCTCAACACACTGTAACACACCTCAACACACTGTAACACATCTGTAACACACCTCAACACACTGTAACATACCTCAACACACTGTAACACATCTGTAACACACCTCAACACACTGTAACACACTGTAACACACTGTAACACACCTCAACACATCTGTAACACACCTCAACACTGTAACACACTGTAACACACTGTAACACACCTCAACACACTGTAACATACCTCAACACACTGTAACACATCTGTAACACACCTCAACACACTGTAACACACGTAACACACTGTAACACACCTGTAACACAGTGTAACACACCTCAACACCCTGTAACACACATGTAACACACATGTAACACACCTGTAACACAACTCAACACACCTGTAACACACCTGTAACACACCTGTAACACATGTAACACACTGTAACACACCTGTAACACACCTCAACACACTGTAACACACATGTAACACACTGTAACACACCTCAACACACTGTAACACACATGTAACACACTGTAACACACCTGTAACACAACTCAACACATTGTAACACACCTGTAACACACCTCAACACACTGTAACACACCTGTAACACATTGTAACACACCTCAACACACTGTAACACACTGTAACACACCTCAACACACTGTAACACACATGTAACACACTGTAACACACCTCAACACACTGTAACACACATGTAACACACTGTAACACACCTGTAACACAACTCAACACACTGTAACACACATGTAACACACATGTAACACACCTGTAACACACCTCAACACACCTGTAACACACCTCAACACACCTGTAACACACCTCAACACACTGTAACACACCTCAACACACTGTAACACACATGTAACACACTGTACCACACCTGTAACACAACTCAACACACTGTAACACACCTCAACACACTGTAACACACCTCAACACACTGTAACACACCTCAACACCTGTAACACACATGTAACACACATGTAACACACCTCAACACACTGTAACACACATGTAACACACCTCAACACACCTGTAACACACTGTAACACACCTGTAACACACCTCAACACATTGTAACACACTGTAACACACTGTAACACACTGTAACACACCTCAACACACTGTAACACATCTGTAACACTGTAACACATCTGTAACACACTGTAACACAGTGTAACACACCTGCAACACTCTGTATAGATTGATATTTTCTGAGTAGTTGTTGTTGGAAAGAGTTTTATTTGCGGGACACATGAAGTCAGTCGGTGACTCTCATCTGATTGGTCAGGTTACTATGGAGACGAGAAACGCCATCATCCTGTTCACCTCCTGCTACCTGCCGGAGAACACGGTGGAGGACTATGAGTACGTCATGGACAACCTGTTCAGGTGAGTTGACACAGTTGAAACCGGAGAATATGTAAACATGACGTCCACCCGTCTCGGCATGAACGAACTGTGAATGATGTTGTTTTTTGTTTTGTGTTTGTGTGTCCTCCTGCAGGTATATTGGGCACGTTGGACCTGATGGTTTCAGAGAAGTACATCCTGGTCTACCTGTGTGCCATGGCTCCCAGAAACAAGCTGCCGGCCATCAAATGGCTCCACCAGTGCTACACCTCCATCGACCGCAGGTACGCTGCTTTCACTGTCACGCTGACGTTGTTACCTGAGTCTGACGTTTGGGGAGTTTCTGTAAATATCCCGCATAAATAAAACAGGAAATGAAAGAGTCCCAGCTTGTTTCTGTGTGTCCAGGCTGAAGAAGGACCTGAGGGGGCTGCTGGTCGTCCATCCCGCCTGGTACATCAGAGCTCTCATCACTGTGGTCAAACCCTTCATCAGGTCTGCAACACACACACCTGTTCATCTAGCTCACCTGACTACACATACACTGAGGGTTTAAACTCACGGCGCATCCCAGTTCTCTTATTTACGTTTTCTTGCTTCTCGCTTCAACCGAAAGGCGTTCTGGTCGGCCATCTTGCAGGCCGTGCCAAAGCTCTTATTTCTGCTCTGACGATCGAGGAGATGCGTCCTGACACGCCCCCTTGTTGGATATAAGTTATTGATTGAACGCTGCAGCTGATCACATACAGACGTCGCTTCAGAAGACGCTTCAGAGGAGAGGACGCCTCTGAAATGTTGACGGAACTTGTGCATAACAGAGACCAGTGTTCCCCCTGTGTTCAGCACACCACTGCTGCAGAATGAATAACCTCCCTGCTTAAATGTCACACAATCATTAGTATCAATGCACAAGTGATGATTTTAACTCGCACACTGTGCGAGCATGGCGACATTGAACGCCTGGCAGCTCTCTATGTGAGGCCGAGCAAATGAGAGAGAGCGAGCGGCAGAACGTGACGGTGAAAGTTTGCGGAGGAAAATATTAGCAGGAAGTTTCAGTCTGGCAGTAAAGCTGCAGTGTGTCGTTTCCCCAACAGCTGGAAAGCTAAAGGCGGTTAGCGCGAGATGCCCAGAGATTCCCACCCCTCGACAATACGATCGACTTTAATCATCAATAACTGTTTAGTTTTCCAACAGAGAAATCTCACAGCCCTGCCAGTGTAGATGGAGACCAACCTGAAACATCAAACACCTCAGAGATTGTAGAAGAGAACGCCTAAATTATTTACACACATTGAAAGGTTGTGATTTCAACATTACGGCCTCTCATCTGTCCTGCACATCCTGTTTCACAGCTGCTAGTTGTTCAGATGTTTTTATTGAAGGAGGACAGGATGGGATCTATCGTTGTGTTTTTGTTTTGCACCGTGGCTTCACGTTGGTTTCGAGAATTGAAGAATTTTACTGGTATCGACTGCTACGTTGGGGCGGCTGTGGCTCAGGAGGTAGAGCGGGTTAGCCGTTAATCGGAAGGTCGGCGGTTCAATCCTGGCTCCCCCTGGTTGCAAGTCGAAGTGTCCTTGGGCAAGATACTGAACCCGAATTGCCCCTGGCGGCTGTTCCGCCAGTGTATGAGTGAGTGTGAATGTTAGTTTCCGTTTGAGCACTTAGGCTCAGTGTATGAATGTGTGTGACTGGTGAATGCAGATGTAGTGTAAAAGCGCTTTGAGTGGTCGAAAAGACTAGAAAGGCGCTATACAAGTACGGAGCATTTACATTTACATTTCTTGTATCATGACATCCCTAACATAGAGACGGCACACACCAAGAACAATAATGTTCTGTCCGGTTCCTGTCCACTGACTCTCTGTCGTCCACAGCGAGAAGTTCAGCAGGAAGATTCGGTTCATCCAGACTCTGCAGCAGCTGTCCGAGATCATCCCCACAGAACGTCTGCAGATCCCCGATGCAATACGACAGTAAGGACGCCGCTGCTACTGTCCACTTCTACTGTCTGGTTCTTGTTCTACTGATTGTTCGACTTTCTCTGTTCGACCATCGATGTTCCACTGTCTCTGTTCTACTGTCTCTGTTCTGCTGACTGTTCTGCTGTCTGTTCCACTGTCTCTGTTCGACCATCGATGTTCCACTGTCTCTGTTCTACTGTCGCTGCTCTACTGACTCTGTTCCTCTGTCTCTGTTCTGTGCACTGTTCTACTGTCTCTGTTCTACTGTCTCTGTTCGACCATTGCTGTTCTGCTGTCTGTTCGACTGTCTCTGTTCCACTGTCTCTGTTCCACTGTCTCTGTTCTACTGTCTCTGTTCTACTGTCTCTGTTCGACCATTGCTGTTCTGCTGTCTGTTCGACTGTCTCTGTTCCACTGTCTCTGTTCCACTGTCTCTGTTCTACTGTCTCTGTTCCACTGTCTCTGTTCTACTGTCGCTGCTCTACTGACTCTGTTCCTCTGTCTCTGTTCTGTGCACTGTTCTACTGTCTCTGTTCCTCTGTCTCTGTTCCTCTGTCTCTGTTCTACTGTCGCTGCTCTACTGACTCTGTTCCTCTGTCTCTGTTCTACTGTCGCTGTTCTACTGTCTCTGTTCTACTGTCTCTGTTCGACCATTGCTGTTCTACTGTCTGTTGTTCTGATTGTTCAACTTTCTCTGTTCTGTTGATTGTTCGACTGTCGCTGTTCAACCGTCTCTGTTCTACTAACTGTTCTACTGTCTCTATTCTACTGTGTCTATTCTACTGTCGCTGCTCTACTGACTTTGTTCAACCGTCTCTGTTCTGCTGACTGTTTTACTCTCTGATCTACTAACTGTTCTACTGTCGCTGTTTGACTATCTCTGTTTGACCATCGCTGTTCTACTGTCTCTGTTCTACTGTCTCTGTTCGACTGTCTCTGTTCGACTGTCTCAGTTCTACTGTCTCTGTTCGACTGTCTCAGTTCTACTGTCTCTGTTCGACTGTCTCAGTTCCTCTGTCTCTGTTCTACTGTCGCTGCTCTACTGACTCTGTTCCTCTGTCTCTGTTCTGTGCACTTTTCTACTGTCTCTGTTCTACTGTCTCTGTTCGACCATTGCTGTTCTGCTGTCTGTTCGACTGTCTCTGTTCCACTGTCTCTGTTCTACTGTCGCTGCTCTACTGACTCTGTTCCTCTGTCTCTGTTATACTGTCGCTGTTCTACTGTCTCTGTTCTACTGTCTCTGTTCGACCATTGCTGTTCTACTGTCTGTTGTTCTGATTGTTCAACTTTCTCTGTTCTGTTGATTGTTCGACTGTCGCTGTTCAACCGTCTCTGTTCTACTAACTGTTCTACTGTCTCTATTCTACTGTGTCTATTCTACTGTCGCTGCTCTACTGACTTTGTTCAACCGTCTCTGTTCTGCTGACTGTTTTAATGTCTCTGATCTACTAACTGTTCTACTGTCGCTGTTTGACTATCTCTGTTTGACCATCTCTGTTTGACCATCGCTGTTCTACTGTCTCTGTTCGACTGTCTCTGTTCGACTGTCGCTGTTCTACTGTCGCTGTTCTACTGTCTCTGTTCGACTGTCTCTGTTCGACTGTCTCTGTTCGACTGTCGCTGTTCTACTGTCTCTGTTCTACTGTCTCTGTTCTACTGTCGCTGTTCTACTGTCGCTGTTCGACTGTCTCAGTTCTACTGTCGCTGTTCTGCTGACTGTTCTACTGTCACTGTTCTACTGTCGCTGTTCTACTGTCTCTGTTCGACTGTCTCTGTTCTGCTGACTGTTCTACTGTCTCTGTTCTACTGTCTCTGTTCTACTGTCTCTGTTCGACTATCGCTGTTCTACTGTCTCAGTTCTACTGTCTCTGTTCTACTGTCTCTGTTCTGCTGACTGTTCTACTGTCTCAGTTCGACTGTCTCAGTTCGACTGTCTCTGTTCTGCTGACTGTTCTACTGTCTCAGTTCTACTGTCTCAGTTAGACTGTCTCTGTTCTCTGACTGTTCTACTGTCTCAGTTCTACTGTCTCTGTTCTGCTGACTGTTCGACTGTCTCTGTTCGACTGTCGCTGTTCGACTGTCTCTGTTCTACTGTCTCAGTTCTACTGTCTCTGTTCTGCTGACTGTTCTACTGTCTCAGTTCTACTGTCTCTGTTCTGCTGACTGTTCTACTGTCTCAGTTCGACTGTCTCAGTTCGAATGTCTCTGTTCTGCTACTGTTCTACTGTCCAGTTCTACTGTCTCAGTTCTACTGTCTCTGTTCTGCTGACTGTTCTACTGTCTCAGTTCTACTGTCTCTGTTCTGCTGACTGTTCTACTGTCTCAGTTCGACTGTCTCAGTTCGACTGTCGCTGTTCGACTGTCGCTGTTCGAGTGTCGCAGTTCTACTGTCTCAGTTCGACTGTCTCTGTTCTGCTGACTGTTCTACTGTCTCAGTTCTACTGTCTCTGTTCGACTGTCTCTGTTCTGCTGACTGTTCTACTGTCTCAGTTCGACTGTCGCTGTTCGACTGTCGCTGTTCGAGTGTCGCAGTTCTACTGTCTCAGTTCTACTGTCTCTGTTCTGCTGACTGTTCTACTGTCTCAGTTCTATCTGTCTCTGTTCTGCTGAATGTTCTACTGTCTCAGTTCGACTGTCTCTGTTCGACTGTCGCTGTTCAACTGTCGCTGTTCGACTGTCTCTGTTCGACTGTCTCTGTTCGACTGTCTCTGTTCTGCTGACTGTTCTACTGTCGCTGTTCTGCTGACTGTTCTACTGACTGTTCTACTGTCTCAGTTCGACTGTCTCTGTTCGACTGTCGCTGTTTGACTGTCTCTGTTCGACTGTCTCTGTTCGACTGTCTCTGTTCGACTGTCTCGTTCTGCTGACTGTTCTACTGTCTGTTCTGTTCTACTGTCTGTTCTACTGTCACTGTTCTACTGTCTCTGTTCTGCTGACTGTTCTACTGTCACTGTTCTACTGTCGCTGTTCTACTGTCTCAGTTCTACTGACTGTTCTACTGTCTCAGTTCGACTGTCTCTGTTCTAATGTTTCTCTTTTTGTGGTTCTCCCGCACTGTAAACTGCGGTTGATGTTGAACTGTCGCTTGTGTCCTGCAGGTTTGATGAGAAGCTGAACAGATGACGATCACAGACTGGATCGATCCTAAAGGTCAGAGGTCATCAGACTGAGCGCCTCCTGCTGATGACCTTTGACCTCCTGCCTTTACAAAGACTCTGGGTTTATTTACTGTCTGTCTTTAATCAGGGGGGGCCGTCTGGTTCTCCTGCAGCTTCGGACTCATTTCAGCTCTGAACCTTTAAGCCGCCATGTTCTATCCTAAATCGTCAAACTGGGCACAGGTCGGTGGTGTAACTGTGACTCCACCCCCCACCGTGTGTCAGGTAGATGGAGCTCAACAGCTCATTTTAAACTCTGCAGGAACCAACCCGTCTTAAAAAGGAACGTGTTGCAGGTGTGTTGATGATGTCGCCTGTAGAAGACCTCCGCTGTCAGCTGCAGCAGGGAGAACAGATGTTTCTGTATCAGCACCTGCTGCACTAACGTACCTGTAATAAAAGTATCGATCAAACCTTTTTACCAGATCACCCCTGTTCTTCAC